GCTCAGTCGTCCCCTGACTCACTTCCTGCAGGGGGGCTCAAAAAAGGGGATGCCTGCACATGTTAAAAAAAAGGGCAACATCTCATTTCCATAAGGGGCTGCTCCAGGTTAACTCCAAAAGGCAGCAGATCCCCCTGCCTTGTGCTGTCTTCTTCCTCTCCTTCTCCTTCTCTTGCATGGTTTACCCCACCCTCCAGACCATCCAAGCATCAGCACAAATGTGGGATCTAAGGGCTGATGATCTTCTTCGTTCTCTTTTTCTCTTTTCTGCCTTTATTTCTCTCTCCCCTTGCTTTGCCTGCACAAAGCACAACTATCATATTCATGCTCAGTGCTGGGGTTTGTTGCAGGAGTGCAGAGCTTGTGGAACTGTGTTGTGCCTCATGAATCAGCGCTTGGGAGAACTTTGCTGTGGGAGCTGAGAGCTTATTGCAGTGTAGGGTACAAAATTAAGGACTTGTCAGCCACCACTTGTGGAAGTCTATTGAAAAGTCTAAGGGATTGCTGGTCAACAACTTTTGAGTCTAAATATTGGGCTGTACAATAAAAGCACAAGAGATCCCTGACACGTGTCCACAGTCTTTCTTCAGCCGGACGAGAATTTACATTAAACATCACACCCTTATTGATGGGTGACAGACAATTTCTTCCTTTTCACCTGACCCTTCTACTGAGACCCCACTCCCCTGTGCTTAGAGAGTAGCTCAGGCACTAATATCCCAATTTCCACACCAAGTGTGTGATTTGCTAATGACACTTCCTGAGTTTTTGCAGACCCTCTGACTTTTGCCTTTCCTTTTGGCCACGACCATTTCAGAATTTTGGGTACCCTGGTGGGAAAGCTGCTGCCATGGGGGTCCTTCCCAGGAACCACATCAAATTACCCCGGGTGATCACCCCAGTGTGGCCAAGGTGGCACTGCTGGTCCCCATGCACGGGTTAGCTGGGTGAGGGAACCCAGGTGTGACAACAGCTGGCACCAGGTGGCACTTGGGCTCTGAGGACATGGCTGGGAAGGAGTTGCACTGGCCCACAGAGTGACCATCTACATTCCATGGGAGCCCTGGCACACCTGGAGGAGCCAGAGAGCTGCCAGGCCCAGAACCAAACATTCCCCACCTTCTGGGTGGTGTCAGCACCGTGGAGGTGTCGGGGCTGCTCCAAAGGGATCCCCCACACACTCCCTGATGGGCAAAAGGTGCCCAAGAGCAGCTGAAAGGGATCCACGGGGAGGGGCTGTGCTGGAAGGGGCTGGATCAGGCTGATTGCAGCCAGTTTGGGGCATGGGCATCTCCATGGCAACTGCCAGGGCTGTGGGATGTGGGGCCTCAGGGTGCCCAGGGGCCACCGGGACACTGAGGGGCCTCCTGGAACTGAGGGGACATTTTTATCAATGATCTGCACAAGGGGGTCGGTGCAACCTCACTCATTTCACAGGTGACACCAAGCTGGGTGGGCTCTGCTCCTCCAGGCCTGCAGAGCTCCCTCTTTGCCTGCAAAAAAAGTCGTCTTGGGCATCCTTATTGGAGCAGTCTGGGGCTGCTGCTTCCTGGGATCTCATCTCCACTGAAGAGAGCCCAGGAAAAGCCTGGGAAGAGTCTCAGTTAGATCCTGGAAAATGCAGGTTTCATGAAAAAACATTTTGGGCAGCTTCCCTGGATCGGTCTGCGGCTGCATTTCAGTGCTGGGAGTCCATTTTTCCACCTGTAAATTGGTGCCACTGAGTTCCTGCTTCACCAGTTCCCCCCTGGGGACAAACTCTTTGCTCTTTCCCTCCAAGGTGTCTCTCAGTGGGGCTTGCTGACATCCTCTGGAAGTTGGAGGTTCACTGATGAATTTTACTTCTCTAAGAGGCTTGTTCAGCCTTCAGATCTTCAGTTCAGGAATTTGGTGCCAGAGGGCTCATTACATTCAAAACACACTGGTGAAACAAGCCTGTGGGATTAATTTACCTTTATGTCTTCAATTCTTTTGTGGTTAATTAGACAGATTGCAGAAGTGTATTCCAAGTGAATGTATTTTATTAAAAAAACAATAAGAGGATATTTTTTATCCTGTTTTCTTTTTTACTGTTTATACATTGATATCAGCAATCTCTAATTTATTTTGATCCTGTGCAACTCATAATGCAGTTTGAATTGATATGAAAATCAAGACCCTTTCTGTCTGACTATCAATCAGACTTTGTCCATATCCCCACCCCAACATTTCCCTCATCAGACCCCTGGGACTTAAAGCAGCCTCCTGCAAATCTGAGCTTCCACACTAAAGGTTGTATTTGCAGGTTTCAGCTGGTTGGCATCAAGTCCCACCTGCTTGGCTTGGAGAAAGAGCTGCAGGAGACACAGAGGGATGTTCATTTATTGCCAGCAAACGAAACCAGAGGAAGGCACAGCTCAGTAAAAATCAAAACTCCTTCCTCTGCTGTATATTAAGTCCACACTGCCTCTGCTAAAATCCACTCTCTGCAGTCTTAGACCAATGGAAAATGCCTTCTGTGTCAGGCACATATTCCGAGGTCCCCCAAACACTCCCTGCCCCAGGTTCTGTCCGTATTTACCCTTTGCACACAGTGAGTCACACACTGAAGTCACAAGTTCCCTTGATCCACAAAGGGAGGAAAAGAGAGAGACTGAATGAAATACTCTATTTTGCAAAGTTAATTCTGCACTAATCCCAGTATTCTGGGCTTACAGGACCTTTATCAAACACATTCTGCAGCATCTGTTCACTGGGTAAACATCTGTGTGGCTGGGCAGGCCCAAGGAGTGGTGGGGAATGGAGTTCCATCCAGGGGTGTTCCCAGGGCTCAGCACTGGGCTCAGGGCAGTTCAATGTCTTTATCAATGATCTGCACAAGGGGATCAGGGCAGCCTCAGTCAGTTCACAGGTGACACCAAGCTGGGTGGGAGTGTTGATGTGCTGGAGGGCAGGAAGGCTCTGCAGAGGGATCTGGACAGGCTGCATCGTTGGGCCCAGGACACTTGGAGGAGGCTCAACAAGGCCAAGTGCCGGGTCCTGCCCTGGGCTCACAAGCACCCCAAATCCCTGGCCATGGCCTGCAACTGGTCCCCACAGCCTGTCCTGTGTCCTGAATCCCTCCATTTCCCAGGACTTGGTGGGACAAGGGAGCTCTGTGCTCTGGGTACAGAGGGAGCTCCAAGTGCCAGTGGAGTGGGAACCACAACTCATCAGGTTTGTGTTCTTTGGGAGTCAGGTACTGGTCAGACTCCAGTCTATGCCATGGCCAGATTGAGTCTCCTGAAGGGAAAAAAACCACTGGTGTTTGCCCTTCTGGCCTTTCATGAGGTTGCTGCCAAGATGTGCTCTCGTCCTCCTTGAAACCCTTCCCTGAAGGGGAAGCACAGAGGCCTGAGAGACCTTTCCAGTAAAGACTCAGGCAAAGAAGCCACTGAGTCACTCAGCCCCAGCATCAGTGTGTGCTGCTGTTAAATTCCCTTCTCCATTCCTCAGCATTTTCCTGCATTTTCCTCCTTCAGCCTTGGCCTCCAAAGCTGGAGACCAAGATCATTCAAGAGT